TCATATCAGTTTTCAAAACACTGGTGGGGCATGGTGGTACATGCCTTTAATCCCAGATCTGGGGAGGCTGAGGCAGGGACACCTCTGTGAAATCCAGGGAAAGCAAAATCCATCCTGGTCTCCATGGTGAGTCCCAAGTCTGCTGGGCCTACAGAGAGACCATGTCTCAAAAAGACCCAAAATAAGTAAATACATAAATAAATAGTAGAATTCTATTCTACTATTCATATTACATATTCATATTCATTATACATATTCAAATGATATGTATAAAGCATATGCCACAGCGGCCTTCAACTGCACTTCCCTTTCCTGATGTTTGCGATACCTTCTCCTTCCTCCTCATAAATGGTTACTGTTTGAGGGGCCAGGGAGGGTGGGCCTTTTGATCTCTGCTTGATTTTATCTATAGATAGCATCTTCTTCATTATTTGAACACTTTATTCCCTGCAAATCTGCTTTCTTAAAATCTGGCAGGGGAACTGGAAATAATATAACTCACTTCAATTACCAGCCATACAAAATGAACAAAATGAATCACCAGCCATACAAAACGAATGATTTTTCTGTGTAATACAGACTTGTAGTTCAGGTGTTAACTTTTCTATAGCAAATAACGATATATAGCAAAATGAGTGTAAGAACCTTGAATTTGGGGTTCCAATTTGTTCAAGGAGAGCTTCTAACTCAACCCACATCCTTGGATGTGACCCCCAGTTTACAGGGACAGCAACCTGGGACTTCCTCACCTAAGGATTTGAAGACATCGGGACTGGCGTACTTGCCATCGAAGTACACGGTGTTGTTCTGAGAGTCAAAGGCACGGCACATTCTGATGAACACCACCTCTAGAGAACCTGCGCGGAGCGGAAGCAGAAGTGCATTGCATCATTCCTTCCATCTAAGTCCTTTCTAGGTGCTAACCTAGGGGCCTGAGACCACACAGCCGTTGTGTACCGAGTAGCTGGTGTGTCCTTGGTCATACCAGCCCTCTGTCCAAGAAGGCAGGAAAGAAAGAAGAGTCTTTCAGGAATGACCTCCTTGGCACTCTACTTTGTAGAGACTTAAAGTTGGTTGGAAAGCATTTATTCATATCTATTCAAACAACCCAAGCCAGAGATGACTTCTTGACCCAATTTAAGCTTCTTCCTAACAGCTCAGCATTAGGGCCTGGAGCATGCCGGAGAAATTTAGAAATACAGAGGTCCTTCAGTGTAATAATCCTGAGGGATTAGAGAAAGAAAATGGAGGAAATGCTTCCTAAACATAGCTTAAAATCGTTTAGGAAAAAAAAAAGGGCGGGGGGCTCAGTTTCTGCTAAGAAAACCCTGAGCTATTTATTATCACTGGGGAAAACGACTTTCCACAGCACCCTTAGCAAGCATTTCTTTATGAAGTGGGTAGAAACAGGTCAGAATTTACTTGTGTAGCACGTACATGGACAGTCACCTGCACAGTGCATAAAGCGCATACCTGCTTTTAGAAGCACGATCTGATCGTTCTGACACAGCTCCATAAAACCATCGATACGCTTGGCAAACTCCACAACGTACTGGATTGCTTCTGTAATCTTGATGGCACACAATTGCCACATCACCTCTCGCTGCTGTGAGAGATGGGAAATGTGTTAACATCAGGCGAGTCTCTCCCAGCCCAGCTTGCTTCACCATTCCTATTTTGTAGACGCTTTCTTTGAAAATGGGTGGGAAAGAAGATTATCAGATTAAAACAATAGTGTCTCTGTTATTTGGGTTATAAAAGCCTGCTTCCATTTCTTTTCTGCTTTCTGAGATTCCTAGCTTTTTGGAGGGATGAAACAGAGGCGAGGTATGTGTGGGGTGTGTGTGCTTTGAACATATGCTGAAAGGCAGTCAGGAGAGCAGCACGTATCACACTCAGCCGTGGGCCCCACAGTAGCAGAGGAGAATCGTTTTTAAGCAGTTGTTTTGTTTGGGGAAATTTACCAACACTTTACTGGGACAGGGGTGTCATGCTATGTTTTTCATACATATCCACTATGAGCTAGATGTGTGATTACTTCCTTGTTTCTTTTTTTTTCTTTTATAATTTTTTCTTCTATTCAGAAATGATATCAAAACTCATGAAGTTTTGGACTGAGAGATGGCTCAGCGGTTAAGAGCACTTGCTGTTCTTCCAGAGGACCTGGGTTCGATTTCTAGCACCCACATGGCAGTTAACAACTGTCTGTAACTCCAGTTCCAGGGGATTTGACATCCTCTTCTGACCTCTGTGGGGCACTGCATGCATGTGGTGCATTTATAAACATGCAGGTCAAACACTCCTACACATAAAAAAATTTAAAAACCCGCCAAAGTCATAGGGTTTTCCCAGAGTACATAGAAGGGAAGTTGGATTCCAATCTAGGTATCACTGATGCTGAAATCCTGTTTCATGTAGATTGCTGTCTCTCAGTGGTTTTTTGCCTCCTATTGGTAGTTTGGATGACTGCGGTGACGTGCCACTCAAAGGCAAACCAAGTGACCTCTTGTTACTGCCAACCTGTCTTGTTGCTTTCCTTTGATGGCCTCCCTCTTCCGCTTACCACAGGATGACCTGGATCTGCTGATCTGAGTGCCTGCCTCACCCCCACTCTTGTAACTTAAGGCTATTTCTAACAGTATGATGGGTATTGTACCCTGAATTAGAAGTGAGAAGTCACACACAGTTTGGTCCTGATGCTCCCATTTCCAAGCCAAAGTCAAGACATGTTGGTTTCTTCCCATGTAACCCCGAAGGGAAGGACTCACCTACATCATCTCTAGGGTCCTTTCGAAGCCTCAGTTTCCATGATCACCGGCAAAACCCACCACATTCTCTTTTCCCAAAGGCAAAAATGGGTATTTACCAGCTCCCCAACCCTGGCTTGCCCTCCCATTCCTGCTGGTCAATGACATGTGGAAAAAGGCAAGAGGAGCAGCACCTGCCAGACTCATCCTCTGTTCGGAGCAGCTACAGTCAGTTTCCAACCCCCATTCTTGTCTCTTCTCTCTAAACGCCTTGCTAACCTTGAAGCATGAAGCATGGGCCAAGACTATTTTTCATCAATTTCCAGACCTCAACATCTTCTACTGTGGCATGGGGACAGACCCTGCCTCACAGAGGCTTTTGGAAGCTGCCTGATCTAGCCCCTTACTGTGACATGGAAGGATGCATATGTATAAAACACATATGGCTGAACCTTTCCAAGGAAGATGGCAGTGCTGAGTATATAGTCGGTTCTGGGAGAAAGGTTTCTAAGCAGAAATTTGAGATCTGACACGACATTCATTCTTTGGTCTATTCGTAGTCTTGAGTAAATACCCTACATGGACCCTCTTCCCAATGTTGCCTTAATCTGAATAGAAACGCCTCAGACTCTACCTTGTTCTGATAGTTCTTGATCTCTTCCTGTAGGAAGGTCTGCCACGTTATCTGCTGGAGCTCTTCCCGCAAGTATTGGCAGGTTTCCAGGTGGGATTTGGATATATTCTGTGCAAGGTGTTCTAGGGAGAGAGCGGAAAATCACAACCATGAACAGCAGCTCTTCTCTGGGGACTCAGTAACTACCCCACTTCCCATTTACCTCAAAAAGTAACTCACATGAGGCGATATGCTGATTGGTTTTGGCTACCTTCACATAGCTAAGCAAGCAAGCCAGATCTCCTCTGTATTTGGGCACAGGGAGATGGAGGGCAGAGGCTTTGTAAAGCCAGTAGTGACTACATGAGGCACTGTATGGCTTTAAAATCCTTGCTGACCTTGACCTTGTTCTAGGCTTTATACTGATGTCTGGGGCCCTTGACCTCCTTACATAGGGAAAATGATTGACAGATGCCTCATGGTATTTTTATGATATCCTGGCCAAAATTACTTTTGAAAAACCAGGAAATTATATATATAAACCTTAAATTTTTGCACATGTTGTATATGTGTGTGTTTGCATGTGCTGTATCAAGTGTCTTCTTCGGTTGATCTCCCTATTTATTTATTTATTTATTTATTTATTTATTGGCAGGGTCTCTCACTGAATCTGATTCAAGTAGATTGGCTAGGGTGCAACCCTCCCACCCCCCTGCCTGTCTCCTCCTCCCCAGTGCTGTGGTTACAACATGCCCTGTTTTTTTTTTTTTTTTTCAAACTACTCATTCTGTACTCCCTCTAACCCTCAGAAGGCAAGAATGATAGTTTCTTTAAATGTGGGCTCTGAAGGATCGAACTCAGGTCCTCGTGCTTGTGTGGTAAGTACTGTATTGACCAAGTCATCTCTCCAGCTCAGACATGGTATTCTTTAATATAAACTATGCATTTCTTGCAAACATCAGGGCAAACATTGCTAAAGCACTAACATGAGACTCTGCATTGGTGTAATTAAGAGACAGGCCCCGAGCTGAGGCTTCTAGCTCAGCGTCTTAGCCCTGCTGCTTCCTGTTGAACCTGACTGTGCTTTTCTTTTCTCCTAGGTAAAATGAGGAAATCAGTATCTATTCACTGGGCTGCTGTGGGAATTAACTGAGTTGACAAACAGAAAAAGCATTATACAACATGTATAATGTATGCATGTTATATATATGTATACGTTATATTTGTATATGAGGGCTTTGATAATATTAAATACATGCCAAAGAAGTCTCCTCTAGGAACTTATGCTCTGTGCACATGTATGAACACACAGAAAAGTTGTTAGGACATCAGAAAATAAAGTGTGAGGTGAATCAAATCACAAGATAAAGGAAAAATAATAACCACTATAAGGAAAGGGACAGATCTGCTGACCTGGCAGAATTACAGAATACTTCTTGGAAGAGAAGGAATACTGTATCCGACCCCAAGAAATGAGTAGGATTGGGAGGAGAGGTCAGTTATGTTGAGAGGGGACCTGCTCTAAGTAGAAGGGGGTGGGGGGGAGTAAAAGGGGGGGAACAAATATAGCATTTGCAAGGAACAGGTTTGAAAATGTGTTAAACTAGGCATACATGTAGTTAAGAGCCCATGTTTGGAAGGGTCTTGAATGTTTAGGATTGAATTGGAGTATAAGAGGAATAGGCTGCCATGATTAGAATTGTGTGTAGGGACAGAGACAGGCAGTTTTGTGCCTGGTGGCTTGGAACTCAGAGAGACTAGGGCAGGAGGATCAGTTAGAGGGCAGCTGGAATCTAGATGAGATCAATTGAGTGTAGTTCATGCTGTAATTTCAGAGGCAGCGGGAGGGCAATGTGTTTGAGACCAGTCAGTTCTAAATAATGAGACCCTGTCTCAAAAAAGTGTTTAAAAGAAGTGACAAGTTTATGCATACCAAATCATATGGAGAAATGATCCCCCTACCAGGGGTTGAGTCTTTGGCAGGCAAAGACTTAGGATGGCTCACAGTGCAAGGCCGGCAGCTCTAGGAGAGCGTCTGCTTGTTTGTAAACGTGTTGCCGCTTTCTTCAAACACAAGGAGACATGTTTACGTGAAAACAGAGCAGGTTCACCTAAATGCAGTTTCAAACTGGAATCTCCTTGGAGACACAGAAACATAATAAACCCTAACAGCCCTGTTTGGCAACACACTGGTACAAGAACGGCATGGATAAATGGTGTACAAGAAACACAAATATAAACAGAACGCACTTAAAGGCGAGGAACAGACAGGTTCTGAGAGGAGAGCCAGCTCATTAAGATAAAAATAATGGGAGTCAGAAACCAGAAAGTGAACACACACAAGGCAGTGCAGTGTTTTTCCTACAGAGAGATCTCACTATTGTGGATACTTTCTAGAATGTAAACCAAGATTTGCAGATATGAAAAAAAAAAAAATGAAGCTAAAGAGTTCATGGGGAAGCAGGTGGTCCCGCCGAACGAACAACGGGAAGACGCTTATGACCATCTCTTCCAGCTAACATTGCCAACACTGTGTTTCACAGGATCTTAAGAAATGTTACCGGGAGCCAGGTAATCCCAGCACTTGGGAGGCTGAAACAGAATTGCCGCGAGTTTGAGACCAGCCTGGGCTAAATAGTGAGTTTCAGGACCATGAAATGAAACCCTGTCTTAAAAAACAAAATTGTCAGGGCTGGAGATGTGGTTCAGAGGCAGAGTGCTCGCCTGGCCTGGGTCTGACCCCCAGCATGGCAAAGCAGAGCACGTTGGCACCTTTCACAACAGCCAACAGGAAGACAATGAATCACGCAGTGCACACAGTACGCCAGCAGAGGGCAGTAGCTGCATTCTCGCCAACTGCTCAGGCAGTGGATTTTTATTTCAGTTCATAATAGATTTGGTAAGTCTAAGATCTTTGCGCACTTCACTGTTTTTAACATCTATTTCAGCAAAGGAGAGTATGGTCAGACCGAATAAAAGTTAAGTCAGTGTGACTCTGAGAGAGACTGTGTGGGTCAGTGAAGTATCTGGAACTGCGGAGTTAGGAGGCAGGCTTCCCAGAGGGCGTTCAGCTCCCTAACACAAGTCAGGCAGTTCCTCTCCTCAGCTTCAGCTGCTTCAGTACTGCTAGTGTCTCCAGGTCTGTCCAACCCTCAACCCGTGGGCTGCATGAGGCCAAAGTAGTTACAGATGCAGCTCAGTGCTAGCAAAATTGCAAGCTTACTTAAAATATTATGAGGTTTTCTTGCATAAACTGTAGATGACAACACTGTGTTGCAGTGTCAACAGGTTAGACACACCTGTTCTAGACCCTTCAGGTGGAAAGTCCTGACGTGATTTTCTCACGGATTTTCAGAGTGGGAAAGGACTTTAGGCATCCTCTGGCCTGAACAATCTTCATTTTTACAGATAACACCATCAATAATTAACATTTACACAGCACCTAGACTGCCAGACCCATAGCATGTTCATCTGTTTGGAATACATGTACCTTCTCACGTATGCCTCATAACCCCAGGAGAAAGGTACCAGTACTGTCCCCATTTTACAGACAAGGAGGCTGAGTCAAAGTGTGGTGAAATGGCTTTGCCAACCATCTGACCAGTGGTAGAGCTCTGACTCAAATACAAACTGACTTCCGAGTCTGTGCTCAACCTTTGTATGGGTATATATCATACACATAGAAGGGGCACTTGCAGGTTCCATGGTGCACACTAAGTTCTAAGCTAACAGCAAACCTGACAACCCAAACTGGCTACTCATCTCACACTGAGTCAGTTTTCTCTCCTGCACAAGGCACTAGCTCGCAGTCACTGTAACAGGCACAACTAGCACTTCTAATAAAATGAACCTTCCTTCATTATCTGGACCATGGGATTAGGCACTAACTGCACACTAAGGGCAAGACTGCCTACCCAAAGATGACATATTCTACCGAAAATAAAGAACGTGGATCTAATTCCTGATAGAATTGGACTTGGGCTATACTAATGTAGAATGTCTCCTATTGTGCAATTTCATTTATTTAAATTTTGAAGACAAAGTTTAGCCTACAGGGAATGTAAGAATCTTAGAAAAGATCATGAGATTTAAGCTGTGAAGGAAAATCAAGGAATTTTTGGTAGTACTGAAGAAGGTACAGCCAGTCTTAGGCCACTTTTATCTCCCTGAACTACTCTGACATACAAATGGGATAGAAAATTAGAGCCCAATTTTATCTTTTTCAGAAAAATTATGGTTTAGGTTTGAGTTAATCCATGGCTCCCTGACCTGCTGGAAGGCGACTAGTGTGGGTCTGTCTAGAGGCTCCGGGCAACAGCTCACCCATTTTTAGCCCCGTTCAGGTATTCATGCATTTTAGCCAATGTGCCATGCGCAAGGGCAGCACTTTGCCTAAATCCTGAGGATCTGTATCAGAACTGAATACCTGACAAGCAAACAAAGCAGACTCAACTCGTCAGTATGGTGAGGTAGTTGGGTGCAGGTCATTTTTCATGGGAGCATGTCAGCTTTCAATCAAATCCTTATTTATGTCTGAAAATTTTATTTTCATTACAGTTCTGCTTCGGGCTCAGCCAACCAGTGTTTCATGACCCCCCCTCCCCCCAAAAAACCCACCCAGAAGGTTTTTGTTCTAGTTCAGGGGAAAAAAAAAAACCAACAAAAAACCCCCCCACAGATCTACATCTGCTTAGCACGGCTGCTAGTTCAGAGGTTTCTCTGCTAATCAAAAGAGTTCAATGCTGTGCAGTGCTTAAAGACCACTTAAAATGCCCCAGCTCTTGAGGATTTAAATTTAGACCCATAAAGAGATGCTGTGTAAAAACCGTAAAGAGCATTCAATTTGCTCTATTTGGAGAGAAATTTTGACTGGAAATATAAATTTTCACTTGAAAGACGTTTTACAGGGTGCAGGGGCGGAGGTACCATCTAAAGACCATGACCATTATTGCTGTGAACAGAGGGTTTCTGCACTCGTCAGAACCTGCTGGTTCTTTACCACCCTGTGTCCTCAAGCTCTCCTCGTATTGACTTAGTCATCTCTGCAGCAGCTAATTGAAATGTCCCAAAGGGGTACAACCTCATGCACAGAAAACCAAAACTCTATAACCGCAAAGGCTCTTATCAAAGTGTTTCTAATAATAGTGCTATATTTTTAAAAGACGAAAGGTTCATACGATTTGAAGAGAACCCAGAGTATATTTTTAAAAAAATTGATCAAATATAGCAGAGGATGTTAGCATAACTTGCTAGAAATGGAAAATTTTCCATTGTCTGTGCTATCTATGTTTCTAGGTCACTGTATCCCAAGAAACAGCTGTGCCCCAGCAATAAGGAAACGAGAGGTGTTTGTTTTCTTGGAAAAGTGAGCCTTGTATGAAGTATGTCAATTTTGTCACCAATAGTCATCCTCAACATATTTTGGCAAGTTTTTACAGTTCACATCAGTGAAGCAAAACTTAGATGCCTGCAGGGGCTAGGCAGGTGATATCAATGGGAGAAGTGGGTCGGTCCACCAGTGGGGACATCCCCTGACTGGGACCAGATGGTTACTGGTATTCACAAATACTGGTCCAATGTTATTAACTTGTTGTCTTTTTTTTAACCTCCCACAAAAATGTTGAGAATTGGAACTTTCATTATAAGTATTGAAGTTTAGCAGGAAGGATAGGATAGGGAGAGATCGGCCAACAGTCACACATTACAGGTACAATTACAGCAGGAAAAAGATCTGGCATGCTATAGCACAGGAGGGTGGCCAAAGATAACAGTAATGTGTTGCACATTTGAAAAGGACTAGAAAAGAGGATTTTGAACACTCAGTACAAATCAGTGCTAAGTGTATGAGGTGACAGATAAGCTAAATACCCTTAGCTGACTACCACACCATGTGTATATGCATCAAAGTGTCATACTACCCTTTGTGATTATGTACATTAGGTACCAATTGAAAATAAAAAGAGAAGTTTAAATTTTTAGTGACCACTTCAAAAATTAAAGCTAGTCAAAAATATGACTATACCTCAGATTCACTTTGTGGAGCGACTTTTTGTGTATGTGTGTGACCTTAGGCATAAAGCAATACCTGGAGTTAAAGTAAATAATGAGGTTAGAATGGCCTTTTCTTGGGCTTACTGTGTTTTGTGGTACACAGACACTGGTTATATGTGTTTTGACTTGTTTCTGAGCTGAGGTTAACACATTTATTGGAGATAACATGGGAAACAGAGTCAAAAGCAGGGCTGCAGGAGGCTGTAGGCTGGAGAGATGACTCAGTGGATAAGAGCATTGGTTGCTCTTGCAGAGGACCTGGGTTTGGTTCCCAGCACCTACATGGTGGCCAATAATGGACTGTAACTTCAGTTCCAGGGTATTGAATGCCCTGAGAGTCCATGGGCATTGCATACACATGGTACACTTACATGCAGGCAAACACCCACACACATAAAATAAAAATTAAAAGTAAAAAGCAAAGCTGGGCCAAGCATGGTGGCGCACACTTTTAATCCCAGCACTTGGGAGGCAGAGGCAGGCAGATCTCTGTGAGTTCAAGGCCAGCCTGGTCTACATAGTGAGTTCCAGGACAGCTGGGGCTACAGGGAGACCCAGTATCCAAACAGATTAAAAAAAAAAAAAAAAAGCAGGGATGGCATTTGAGGTAGAAGTAAAGATCAAGGGGAGTTGTATCCATCAGAGAGCACAGTCCCTTACCCCTTTCACTTCACAGGGCCTGCCCAGAGCAAACCAGGGCAGCGCACACCCTCCATTACCTAGTTCTGCCATAGACACAGTTGGAGAAGTCTCTCCATTGGTGAAGGAACAGTAGGGGAAGAAGCCAGATGCTGGTGTGTAGTCACATATGGGTTCAGGTTTGATCCCATTGATGTCCAGTCCTGACTGGTCTGGGGAGGGCTGTATGTCCAGGTAGAAACTGCTGACAGCAGAGTCGGCCTTGCTGCCCTCGGGGGTATGCCCGTCCATGTAGGTGCTGAGGTCGTCATGCAGCTCTGTCAGCCCATTGGCTGAGATGTTGTAGGTGGGTGTCAGCGGCTCAGCCTCCCCAGGCTGCTGCTGGTGGTCTCGCTGCTGCTGCTGCATCCGGTGCTTCTGTACTTCTGCATATAAGCTGTCTCTCTGCTTCTTGGACATCCGGCCAAACTTGACGGCTGGAACAGAGAAGGCAAAGCACACCTGTACATTTCTCTTCCTTAGCCTCTTCCACATCAAGTCTCAGACCATGTCAACCCCGAAGCCACAGGTGAGAACAGGCTGACCCTCCACCCTCAAACATATATCCCAAGGTACTTGTGTTTCATAAGCAGGCCTGGGATCAGTAAGGTCAGTAGGATGTCCCCAGGCAGGCCTCCCTCTGTTTTCCTGTAGTCACCTAGTTTTGGGCTCACTAGTGACCACTGAGGCATAACTTTTTTTTTCCTTTTTGAGATTATGTAGCCCAGGCTGGCTTTGAACCGGGTTTCTTCCATCTCCGTCTCCAAGTGGCTAATGCACGGACCACTGGGTCTGACCTGGATCTGACTTCAAGTGCTACTTTGTTCTGTTATTATTGAACCTCAAGTAAAAAGAACACTAGTGTCTCTGGAGGCAAATGCTGTGTGAGATAACCATAGGGTGTGTTTGTGCTTGTAGTGTTCATCCTTGGGATTCTTCCCCGTATTTAAAGTAGGGCAGCAACTTCCCAGTTCATTCAAAATCTCAGCTGATTTCTCCTAAAACACCCATCTAGATAATTGAAAAAAAATTCCTGGTTTGAATTCCCCCACTGATTTCTTTTCCCACCTAGGCTCTCTGCAGATGAACCCTCTGCTGGAGGGACCTACTTCTAATTGATTGTGGTTAAATTGATTCCTGATTAGGGCGGTGAACTCATTTATTTGACCAGCATCACAGTTACAGGCAGGGCAGGGCACATGGGGGATGGAAATGGAGTTGGGAGCTGAGGCCACTGCACTGACCAGCTGGTGGATCCCTTTCCTGCTAGGGAAGATGTGCTGTTCTTTTGCAGTGAGGAAACAAACTGGAATATTGGTCACTTTGGAACTTCTACATCTCAGATAATAAGCTTAGGTGTGTCTGGTTGGCAAACGGGCATATAATTTTATAAGCCCCTAAATTTACTTCTTCCCTGCATAAACGTTTAAGAAGACATACTTAGGGTACTTATTTTTGTTCCTCAAAGAACATTCTAAAACACCAAATGGGGTTAATAGCCATAGTATTAAGGTGAAACCTGTCTCAATAAAACAACGAGTCATATCTAGTAGATGAGGCAGAAGGACCCACTCTTGGGGAAATCCATGCACAACTTGGGATTTTTTAAAAATTGCTTTTATTTTATGTGTATGACTATATTGCCTGCATGTATGTAAGTGCACCTGTGTCATACAATGCCTGAGGAGGTCAGAAGAGGGCATCAAGTTCCCTGATCTGGAGTTAGGATGGTCGTTAGCCTCCATATGGGTGCTGGGAACTGAACCCAAGCCCTCTGCAAGAGCAGCCAGTGCTCTTAACGGCTGAGTCATCTCTCCAGCCCCAGGTTCCTAAGAACCAAACTTAACTGTCAATTCAGTGTGATGGAAGATGAACCCTGCATGTCTCAGGAACCTGCTAGAATATGGTGTGAATTCTGAGACTCCGATCTTCCAATAGCTAAACCTTGACATTTTCAGGGGTCACAGAGCCTCACAGAATATACAGGGAACATGAACTTGAGTCTAGGTGGTTCCATGGGCCCTTAGAACCTCTGATTATGGGGAAGGCAGACTTTCCCCATAGTGGGGAAGGCTGACACTCCACAGGAGGAGACATCTCCTCTCAAAGAGATCTCTGAAAACAGTCAGTGCGCTCGGAAAAAAACTCTTAAAATCGACCTGCTGTATTTTCTGCTCAGTTTCTATGCATAAGAATAACTGTCTTGAAATCTGGTATTGCTTATTCAGTGTACTTAAGATAGTTTTCTGGGAAGATCTTGAAATACTCTATAATTGAATGGTAGCCTGTCACTAATCCCTAAAACAGCTTCTTTTAATGAAAAAGGACATTTATCACCAAGCCTCACCTCACACTATTTTCACACCTCTGAATATACAAATATTTGAATTTGGCAGGTGAGTCAGAGGTTGGCTTAAGAGCTAATTCATACCAAGTTCCAGTGAACTTGCCAGCATAAGGCAAGTACCAATTTGTCCTGGCTTGAATTTCCTGCAGGGACACATGCCTATCAGAGGTGTATTTATTAAAGCCCTCAGAAGACACTTATCTTAAATCAATTCATCCACCTATAATTTCTGAAACATCAAAACTGGAAGGTTTTCCAACTACAAGACACTTTTCTGTCCTACCCTCGTCAGCCAGTTAGCTGACAACAGTAGATCACTGGGAGAAAGAAAGTGCTGTGGATTGCAGAACACTGCCAGAGGAGTTGGGTGTGGCCTGCGTTTCCTAAGCCGCTTTCCCAGCCCTGTGTGTGCTCTGTTCTCAGGCTGCAGGAGGCTCACCATCTCGAGACATCCCCACAGCAAGGCATTTCTGCAGTCGACAGTGCTGGCAGCGGTTTCTGCTGGTCCGATCAATCAAACAGTTCTTCTGACGAGGACAGGAGTAGGTGGCATTGCTCTGCTGACTTCTCCGGAAAAAGCCCTGTGATTTGGTTATAAAATATGAAACAGGTTAGTGTCAGCTCCAGCGGTGTGATACCAAAGGCAGTAGACTAAGCACTGAGTAGCATTAATATTTAATGGAGAATTAAACTTGGAGCAGAATCGTCCAGGAGACCATGAATGAAATTAAAGTCGCTTCTTTTTCCTTGAGTGAAATGGATCCCCAGAGCCTCATCCTCCATCCCTTACACATGCAAAGCTTTAACTTCCATTCACAGTTGCCTATATAAAACACAGGCTTCAGACAACCAAAAAAAAGCAATGTGCTTAATGGCACGATACAGAAGGATTTTCCTTTAACCTTTATCTCCACAGTACTTTCCTTTCGGTGTGTCTAGGATGGTGTATGTGCAAGAGTGTGTGCAGGTGCACATGCCTGTGTGTGTTGTGGAGGGCAGAAGGAGACATCAGGTGTCTTCCTCTGTCTCAAAGTCCTTACTCCCTTGAGATAAGGTCTCTCACTGAACCTGGAGCTAGGCTGGTGGTCAACAAGCCCCAAGGATACTCCTGTCTCTGCCCCCACCCCCAGCATGGGGGTTGCAGGTGTCGATGGCTATGCCTGTTTTTTTATGTAGGTGCTGGGGATTCAAACTCAGGTTCTCATGCTTGCGCCAAGCGCCATCTCCTTAGCCTGGAGAATACTATGTAGTAAAATCAACATTTCCCCAGCATGCACAGAGCTAAGGAAAACATGGTCACATGGTAACCCAGTGCAGTCCAAGTGAACTCTGGTGATTTTTATCTGCCACTTAAGTCTGTGGCCCTTTGGGCACCTCTTGCTCCCCAGGTTCAGATCTACGGGGGCAAGCCGCTGGGTAGCACCTGGATGGATTATTTTAAAAATCAATTGGACTGGGAATTCTCAGTCCTCAACAGTTTGGAAACAGCAGGGCTCAGAATCATGGTCTCTGTTTTAACAGAGCCAGCCTGGTTTTCATCAGTTTTCTTATTGGTGTTGAGTACTGTGTTGGAAATGAGGGGGTATGCAAAGATTCAAGGGGACTACTGACTTCAAGGATGTAGTATTTGCTTATGTGTTTATTAACTTCCTGAGGGTTCCTAAGTCATTGCTTTCCAGTGTTGAGACTTCAGTATTCAAACTTTCTTAAGCAACTCACAAGCTTACTCTAAGTGTAATATTTCCACTTGAAGCTATGTTTTAATATTCCACAGATCTCTTGTTTAAGACTTTTTTCAGAAGCATATTAACTTCCAAATATATGATGGGGAAGGGTTTGGCTATCTTTTTGTTGTTTTTATTGACTTTTAGTGGCTATGAAAGCCAGGCAAAAGAAAAAATTTACAAAGGGAAAAATAAGGTAATGAGTCGTTTCTATGAAGCAGAGCTAGGAAGGATAAGAGAGAGAACGGGCATCTTCCCCAACCAGGGGACACCACTGGGGAGTGACGTTGAGAAGACCTGACCAAGTGGTTGGCAAAGTGACGGGTGCTTCAGTCAACACAGTTCTCTAGAGGTTGATTTAGCTAGTGCATTAGCATTGTTCAAAACAAAACGCACCTTATAGTGCTAACTAATCAAAGCTAACAATTCTTTTTAAAATTTTTATTTATTCTTATTTTATGTGTATGAGTGTTTTGGCTCACTGGGTAGGTGTGTTATTTTCTTTGCTTTCTGATTATTATTCTACAAGTGGAAAGGCATGTGTAACACTTGGAGTCAGCTGCCATCTGCCTCATCTGTTTCACTGCATGATGACTGGGGACCAAGTCAATGCATAAGATGCATGTGAACTCAGTTCTTTATGTTTGAAAATGATTTATTTTTTATGTACATGAGTGTTTACCTGCAGGTATGTGTACCGTGTGTGTACAGTGCCTGCAGAGGCCAGAAAAGGGCATTAGATCCTCTAGAACTGGAGTTAAAGATGCTTGTGAGTCAACACGTGGGTGCTGTGAACTGACCCTGGGTCCTCTGCAAGAGAAGTCAATGCTCTTAACTGCTGAGCACTGAGTTCCTTACTTTTGAAAAATCAACTTGGGAAGATGATGCTGGTGGTGCTGGGGATGCTCAGCCCATCTGTCTCTTCCACTGATAGACTTCCTGCTAACCTAGGCAAGCAAGGCCAGGGCTTACCAGCTCACCATCACCATCTCAGGCTGTCCATCTATGGTAAACCTGCCCTGTGTCACGTCTGGAGATCTTGTGGAAAGCAATGTCTTCTCAAAATACTCAAATCACAATCTCTCTCTCTCTCTCTCTCTCTCTCTCTCTCTCTCTCTCTCCCCCTCTCTCTCTCTTTCTCTCTCTCTCCCTCCCCCCCTCTCTCTGTTACCCTGGTGAAAGGGGAGTAAGAAGTTTTCTTTCAATCTCCATGGAAAGACTACAAGAAAATGTAATTTAAAAAATACCGGGTGTGGTGGCGCATGCCTTTAATCCCAGCACTCGGGAGGCAGAGGCAGGCGGATCTCTGTGAGTTCAAGGCCAGCCTGGTCTACATAGTGAGTTCCAGGACAGCTGGGGCTACAGGGAGACCCTGTCTCAAAAAAGAGTGAAAAAAAAAAAAAACAAAACCAACAAAACCCCAAGAGGCTATGTGTGTATGCGTTCATTTCAAGCTGTCAGAGCTGTGAGCACTTATTGCTTTCCTGAGGCTCGGCCACTCCTCACACCCTCCATGCTTCTTTTAAAGGATTTTTTTTTTTTAGTTAAAAAATAATTCTGTTGATTCAACATTTCATACAATTTTTTTGAGAGAGGGTCTCCCTGTAGCCCCAGTTGGCCTGGAACTCAGTACATAGACCAGGATGGCCTGGATCTCACAGAGATCTGCCTACCTCTGCTTCCCGAGTGCTGGGATTAAAGGCGTGCACCACCATGCTCAACATTATACAATGTATTTTGATCATGATTCAGACACCTTTCCCAATCTCCACCCTCACCTTAACCCTCACCCCCCACTTCAAGTCCTCTACTAGCAAATAAAAAACTCTATCCATCTTATACACTACATCTGAATGGGGTGCCAGAGAAATCATACCTCATGAGTGTCAGTGATCTGTAATTCTTACTCACACATGGTTAAAGTAAGGCCACTCCCTTTCCTTTGTACATGGTTTTGGGTCAGAACATGCACAGGTTCCTTGGGATACAATTTTCATACTTGTTTTTGTTTCTCTTACACACTGCTTAGGACTGTCAAGTAGAGATTTCTCTCTTCCTCAGAGATCAGAAACACTTGGGTTTCCTCATCAAAGTTAGTTATTTGCCGCTCAAGTATATGCAAGTTACACTTTGGCTGTTTCCTGCCCTCACTCGACACACTCACCCCACTGTGGTCCAAGGCATTCTCCAATAGGTTGAGTCCCTTCAGGGTAAACGCAGAAGCTAGATCTTCACAGCAGGCACCAATTAGCTCAAGGCCTCCAACCCATGATTCTCTGAGTAGCAGTTGGTTCTCTAGCTTATTTTTGGAAATTGATAGACTTCCCAGGTTCCTATCACTGCTGAGTACTGCAGCCAGGTCTTGACAGCCACTGGTGGTTAATGCTGGCCAGGCTGACCATGTGTTTGCTGTGCAGTGGCTGCTTGCAGGCCCAGCACCTGGCAAGAGAGGGGCTGTACCAGGGTATGGCACAGCCGGGTGGTGCAACCCCCTTCTGGTTGTTGCTGCTGGCCCTTTTGCCCAAGTTTGGAGGCCAGAGTGGTGGGGGCTAGTGCCCCGGCACCCCAGGAATAGGTGGCCAAGTCCTGAATTCCTGTAGAAGAGCAGCAATGCTCTTGAGGGCTGAGCCACTTCTCCAGCCCCACCGTCCAGGCTTCTTATCCTTGTACGTGCCTTGAATCAGGAATGTGTTTGCTTTTGTGTTAGCTGGGGTTGAACTTTACTCGCTGCACAGAACACCTATCATGGTTTATTTTGTGATCATTGACTGTGTAGTTCTGACATCCTTTTTTCCTTTAAGTGGGCTGTGGTGTTGTTATCCCACAGATCTCCCTCCTGCGGATCCACCACCCTACCTGTCACCTGGCTTGCTAGGTTCTTGCCCACCTAGGGTTTCGTCTTGAGACCCTCTCCAATGCCTTCACTTCTCCCTCCTGCGGATCCACCACCCTACCTGTCACCTGGCTTGCTAGGTTCTTGCCCACCTAGGGTTTCGTCTTGAGACCCTCTCCAATGCCTTCACTTCTCCCTCCTGCGGATCCACCACCCTACCTGTCACCTGGCTTGCTAGGTTCTTGCCCACCTAGGGTTTCGTCTTGAGACCCTCTCCAATGCCTTCACTTCTTTCAAAAGTCTGAAATCCAGAATGAGACATAGCCCTTTGAGTAATGGCCAGGTCACTGATGAAAATAAAGCTACCTTTCAGTTTTCATGTATTAATTTAACCTCACATGACTATAAAGTTCTAGAATGTTAGCCCAGAAACTGTGCAACTTCCAGTCTGTCTTTAGTCCAGGGAAGTTCTGAGGGGGCATGGTGATGATGCACAGACAGGCCAACCTCAGTGTGGGCGTGCGTGTGTGTGTGTGTGTGTGTGTGTGTGTGTGTGTGTGATAATCACATCTCTTTGTTTAGTGTTTTGAATGCTTTGACATCTGGGGCCTTGATGGCCCTGTAGTACTGCCCTTCCCAGAGCTCTGGTCCATACAGAAAACATACAGCTTGCTGTGGCTTGCCTTCCACATGTAACCCAACCCAATCCAGAGCCCTTAGGCCCAACAGGCTCCTGTATCAGGTTTTCATACTTCCGGGCACCATTTAGTTGCCCTCCTCACCCCAGGCTCAGCTACCAGACAACTAAGGACCACGGCTCAGTACCCAGTGTCGATTCAAACTAAACCAGGTGAGGCGAAGATTCAAACCAGGTGAGGCGAAGACTCAAAGCAGGTGAGGCTAAACCTTCAGATCCCACTGTTCATTTTCCCTCCTGTAGGAAACACAACAGAGGCTCTGGCATGTCTTCCTGTTACTTCTTCTGCACCTGACCTACCTGGTGCTTCTCTTGGTGGTCCACCTG